GCGGAAGCTGACCAGCAGCAGCGGAATCGGGGACGCCTGGGGCAGAGCCGGACTATCGGAAGGGGGGCTATGAGGGGTCTGGGGTGGCATCCCCCCCACACCACCCTAGACCCCTCATAGCCCCCCCTTCCGATAGTCTGGCATATTTGATAATCCGGCACCCACTGGGTCCTAAAGGTGCCGGATTATCGGAAGTTTACTGTAGTATCAAAATACTTCATTGGTAAATTAGATCTTCCAGGTAAGATTGTTATGGCAAGGAGCTTTTCCTCTTCTTTTTCTGATCTTAAAAAGCTATATTATGATTTTGAAAATGTGTAGGTGTCATGTGTATGTTGCTTCCCCTCATATTCCTTTCCTAACAAACACTCTATGAGCCTCAACAATTTTTTTCATCTAATTTCAAGTTGTCCTCCTTTTTAAGAAAGCAGGACTAAACTTTTCAAGCTAAGTGCATGGTATAACTGACTGCAGAATTAGATCTTGAGAGAAGTATACTTTTCGGCAAAGGTTATACAGTAAAGAATCTCCTACAGTTTGTTCATCCAGTCCTTGCTGTGTCATGAGATCATTTCATCAGAACATAAGAACAGCCATACTGGGTCATATCGAAGGTCCATATAGCCCAGTATCCTGTCTGCTGACAGTGGCCAATGCCAGATGCCTCAGAGGCAGTGAATATAACAGGTAATTATCACATGATCCCACTCCTGTCATCCATTTCCAGACAAACAGAGGCTAGAGACACCATTCCTACCCATCCTGGCTAATAGCCATTGGTGGACTTCACCTCCATGAATTTATCTAGCTCTTTTTTGAGCCCTGTTAAAGTCCTAGCCTTCACCGCATCCTCTGGCAAGGAGTTCCAGAGGTTGACTGCTGGGTAAAGAAAAACTTCCTGTGTGGTTTTTAAACCTGCTGCCAATCAATTTCATTTGGTGACCCCCTAGTTCTTATATTATGGGAACAAGTAAATAGCTTTTCCTTATTCACTTTTTCCACACCACTCATGATTTTATAGACCTCTGTCATATCTCCCCCTTAAGTCTTTTCATCTCTCTTCATCTGGGACCTGTTCCAAACCCCTAATCATTTTTGTTGCCCTTTTCTGAACCTTTTCCAATGCCAATGTATCTTTTTTGAGATGAGGCCACCACATCTGTATGCAGTGTCCAAGTTGTGGGCGTATCACGGTTTTATATAGAGGCAATAAGATATTCTCTGTCTTATCCTCTATCCCTTTTTCAGTGATTCCTAACGTTTACTTTTTTGACTGCCACTAGATAGATGTTTTCAGAGAACTAGCCACAGAACTGTCCACAATGACTCCAAGATCTCTCTCTTGAGTAGCTGTAGCTAAATTAGTCCCCATCGTAGAATACTAGAACTGGAAAGGACCTTGAGAGGGTCCCCTTCCCTCATAGCAGGACCCAGCACCGTCTAGACCATCCCTCATAGATGTCTATCTAACCTGTTGTTAAATATCTCCAGAGATGGATATTCCATAACCTCCCTAGGCAATTTATTCCAGTGTTTAACCACCTGACAGGAAGTTTTTCCTAATGTCCAGCCTAAACCTCCCTAGCTGGAGTTAAGCCCATCATATTATATGTGCAGTTGGAACATTAAATTTCATTTACCATTTTGTTGCCCAATCACATAATTTTGTGAGATCTTTTTGAAACTCCTCACAGTCTGCTTTGGTCTTAACTATCTTGAGCAGTTTGGTATCATCTGCAAATTTTCCCACCTCACTGTTTACCCCTTTTTCTAGATTATTTATAAATAAACATTTATAAATAGGTTTGGTCCCAGGCAATGTTCCCGCTATGATTTTCTATCCATGAGTGGAACGAGTTTTGGCTTGTGCGCCAATATTTGGATGTGTTCACTATGGCACCCATTAGTTACTAACAAAATATAGTACCTGATGGGTGTCATGGTGGCACACATTCGAACAAGTGCATATGATCTCAATATTGGCGCACAAGATTAAACTTTTATTTTTTTATATACATACAAACAAACAAATGTAAATTAAGGAAGAAAGGCCCACTTACTGTGCAGATGCATTAGCTTCTGCCCATCTTCTGCCCTGTTACATAGCTAACACCCCTGTCTCTTCCTCCACCCTCTGTTGCTTCTCCCTTTCCCCCACCCCATGCCCCCCGCTCCAATCTCAGGCGGCAGCAGCCGCCCACCTTGTGGTGTCAAACCTGGTGGCAGCCACCTCCCACCTTGGGTTTGGCCCAGAGCAGCCACCTTCCACCTTGGTTGCGGCTCTATCCCCACCCACCACACAGCCCCGGCTATGGGAGCAGCCATGCCACTCAGCTTCCAGGTTCAGGAAGGTGAGTGCTACTGCAGAGGACATGAGTGGGCTCAGAATTTGTGCATGGCCACGCAGGCGCGCACCTTAAAGGGAACACTGGTCCCAGGACAGACCTTTGGAGGACACTATTAGTCATCTCTCTCCATTCTGAAAATTTACCATTCAGTCCTACCTTTTGCTTTCTGTCTTTTAATCAGCTATCGATCCATGAAAGGACCTTCCCTCTCATCCCATGACAACTTTCTTTACTTAAGGGCCTTTGGTGAAGGACCTTGTCAAAGGCTTTCTGGAAATCTAAGTATACTATATTCACTGGATCCCCCTTGTCAATGTGTTTTGTTGACCCCCTCAAAGAACTCTAGTAGATTAGTAAGGCATGATTTCCCTTTACGGAAGCTATGTTGACTTTCCCTCAACAAATTATATTAATCAATATGTCTTTACAATTTTATTCTTTACTATAGTTTCAATTAATTTGCCTGGCACTGATGTTACATTTACTGCTTTATAATTGCCAGCATCACCTCTATAGCCCTTTTTAAATATTGGCATCACATTAACTATCTTTCAGTCACTTGGTATAGAAGTTAATTTAACAGACAGGTTACAAACCATCGTTAATAGTTCCAAGGTGATGGTAATATTAAGTTTAATAAAGGGAAGCACCAAGACTGGATTCCAGGCCTGCATAAAAAGTCTTTGTGTTTTAAGGAAACCAGTTGGGACAAAAATGTGATTAAGGAATAGAATCCCAGATCTTTGATAGACTTTTACTAGCTTTCACAGAAGTCAAAAGATAATGTGATAACTGTATTTTGAAATCAAGCACTGTATTAATCATTGGCTGACATGAAAATTGTTCTTGGGAGAATGAGAACTAAGTTCAGAGTGGTGTCTTAGTTTCTTTGCGTGTATTTATGGGAATAATTTTTCAAACATTGGCTGCTTAAATATTTAGCCATTGTCAAAAAAGGAGAGAGAACTACCATAAAAGTAATTTTATTTTCATTGTGTTGAATCACATCATGTTGCAGATTACTCCTGAAAAACCTGCTATTCTGTTGTCTTCAAAGTACATTTCCAGATGGAGTTTCTGACAAGAAAAATCAGCAGAACTAATATATAAGCTTAAGAAATAAGTTTCATTTGAATTAATTAGCTTCTCATTTCCTCAGACATTGGTTTAATGAATAACATAATAAGGAAGTTAGCTTTAAATGTTGCAACTCTGTATGAACCATTAAAATCTTTTCTTCTCTGGCATCTCTGGCTCTACCATAAAACCAGAGAGAATGAAGCCTAACGTAATTGAACACAACTTAAAATGAATTTGAGTATATTTAGAGAAGGTTGTTTCTCCACCAGAAAAGAATATAAATCTTGATCAATTGACCAGTTTGTCAGTAGGTAGAGGATTATTGTAATAACTGCAATATTAAGTGTTCAGGTAAGGTCTGGTGTGGGCAGAAGGGGAATGGTTGACGCTCCATTTTCTGAGTTATAAAACTAAAATGATACTGATGAAGATGTTCCAGTTTGGATAAACCTACAAAATGAAAGGAAGTTTGTTCGCATCTCTCCTTAAGCAAATTCTGTTCCCTTATTTGTGGTAGTTAAAAGCCTGCTTGGAGTTCAACATAAAACTGCATGGGAGGATGTGGGGAACTTCTATGAAGTATATATGGTGGAGTGGAGGTCATAGGTGTGGTTTATGACCTTAAACACAAGATGCATTTCCCCTTGGGACAGGGTAGCTGCCACTATGCACTCTACTCATTCTATTCATAGGTGGACATTCTACTCATAGCTCTGAGGGTGCAGATTAGGGATGTGATAGTGTACACTTGTAGCTGGTTAACTGATGAGCCTGAGCTCATCCATTAAATTTTAACAGTTACACACAGGCCTCGCCTCTCCTCCTTTCCCCCCCTCCCCCTCCACGGCTGCTGCCTTTGTATTGGAGGCAGCAATGGAGAGAGAGGAGACATGAGCCAGGCTGGTTTCCCACAAGCACTGT